CCTGCTCTGCCCCAAGCCGGCTGGCCGGCTCTTGGATCTCACTGCTGAGGGTGGATGTGGACCGAGGGCGGGGGGAGATGTGTCCTGCTGGGGCCCATTGCTCTCCCTCACAGAAACAGAACACAGCACCTTTTGTCTATCAAGGCACCCCTGGACTGAGCTCCCAAGGAAACTGAGGTACAGTGTAGAACATGAGCTGTCCTGCAAGCTGCTGGCCTTGGTCACAGGTCACCTTGAGCACCTAGGCCTTGAAGCGGGGTGGGGGTGGGGGGGAAGAGGTACAAGTGTCACCTCCGTTCCTGCGTGTGAAATGGGAGCAGAGCGGCCCAGCTGGGAGGAGAGACAGGACAGTTGACTCAGTGAGCTGGGCACCTGCCCAGGAGGCACTGGGCCCAGCCACTCACTCCCCTGACCACCCAGAATATTCTAGAAGGGATGCCCGTTCTGCCAACTGCCTCTCTCTGTTCCCCCACGCACCTTCCCTGGGGTAGGCTGCTCGGACCAGTGGCAGAAGCTTCCTGTAAGACAGGCCACTGAACCCAAACCAAGCTCAGCTCCACAGAGTTGATTCCGACTCACAGTGACCCTCCAGGACAGGGTAGCACTGCCCTGTGGGCTTCTGAGGCCGTAAGTTGTTACAGGAGCAGAAAACCTCATCTTTCTCTTGAGGGGCGGCTGGTGGTTTCAAACTGCTGACCCTTGCAGTTAGCAGCCTTGACACCTTGACACACACTGCACCCCACTCAGTCCAGGGTGCCCCAAACAGCCCAGGCCATGTGGTGGGGGCTGTGCTTGCTAACTAACGAGACCGCACACCCAGCTCCTGGGGAGCAGACCTCTGAGCTGGAACTCTCCTGGTGACCCCCGATCCACCACAGGCCGTCACTTAGCAGAATATCTGGACATTTCGATAAAAGTCAGGTGCCTGCTACTTCACCTCCACAAAGCACAGACCAAACTAACTGCCCAAGGGCAGGGGCTTCCTCTGGGCCTCAGCCCACTCGACCGGCCATGGACTCTTAGTGACCCTATACTGTACGATGGGGTCCAACTGCCCCTGTGGGTTTCTGAGGCTATCATGCTGTATGGGCGTAGAAAGCCTTATCTTTCTCCCATGGAGGGGCTCGTGGTCTCAAACTGCTGACCTTATGAGTAGCAGCCCGATGCCATAGCCCACCATGCCACCAGGCCTCCCTGCTCCTCCAGCTGTGGCATTCCAAGTGGCTCATGGGGCCTTGGGGCCGCCCTGCTCCCACACTGCCCCTCCTCTGAGCAGCGGTCCACCGAGCGTCGCCCTGCGCCTGCCGCCCCCTAGTGGCCAGAGGGGAGCAGCTCTGACCTTGGCCTTTGGGGTCTCTTCCCGGGGTTGTCTTCTCACGCCTCCGACAAGAACAACTTCTGGTCCTCTTGGCTTTTTCTCTCGAAGCTTGAGGAGCGAAGTGGGGACGCGCAGTGAGTCGTGGCACGGGCCTGTGTGGCGTGGCGGTGCCAGGCCTGGGGCCTCCCTCAGCAGGCGCTGTACTGTATGAGGGTGTCGGGGAGCCAGTGGCTCCCCAGGACCTGGCCTCTCACCGCTGTGACCCCATGGTAGTGCTGGCCCAGCCCACAGTATTCAGGATGCTAGCAGAGGGGATGGAATGGGTGGGGGGCCTGAGCAGGGTGGGATTCAGCTGGCTCGCACCAGTCTGGCAGAACTGATACCTAATTTTTTGTCGAGTGTGGCAAACCGGTTGTTAAGATGGCCCTGTGACCAGGTGGCAATCCCAGATGGCCCCCCTTCCCCGTTTTGATCCTGTTCCTCATTCACTAGACTCAAGTCTTAACTGCATAGAATCACAGACTACTTTTCCTGTGTATAGGCACACTTAAAATGGCCATGGGGGCAGCGAACCAGTTGCTAAGTTATTTGACCCCCACCCTGGGCCGGAAGGCCAGCTGCTGAGGACAGGGCCCTGGCGATCCATCTATCAGGCCATCCTGAACCTGTCTGGAACCTGCGCTCAGCTACCACCCGCAGCAGCCATGGGACACTCTGGCTCACTGCCTGTGACCACGCCGGCTGCAGCGTCCACCCCAGCTCTGGCTATCCCTGCTCCTGACTCACAACCACTCAAGAAGACCTCCTCTCTTCTCCTGCCCAGCCCCTGCCCTGGAACCCTTCCGGGGGCCGAGGGTGGGGACAGCCTGAGAATGGCCAGCTGGGTTAGCCAGGCTGGCTGGGGGCCTCTCTGACCCTCAGTAGCCTCCTCTGTGAGTGGGGTCATGGCCCCACAGGGGAGCGAGGTGCAGCACTGCACGGCTCACCCTGAGGGCCTGCCACCACTCACCAGAGGCCTGGTGCTGGCAGCATCTGGCAGACTCACACCCTTGGCTGAAAGACACCTTCTCTTCTGCTGGGCTCTCCGCAGGGTGCTGGACACCGGACCCTGGGGTGGAAGGAGAGATGGGCAGTGGCGTGGGGTGGGGGTCAGCCTGGGGCACCTTGGGGTCATAGGGCGCGAAGTTGGGTCACAAGGCAGCTCTGTTTCTAGGCCAGAAAGGGCACCCTGCTACCTGGCTCCACCCCGGGGCCCCACCGGAGCAGAAAGAAGAGGCATGCAGGGCACAGCCAGGAGGGCGCACGGCCGGGCAATGGCTGGGATCATCCTGGGGGGCCCCAGCGTGTGCTTTATCCCACTGGCTGTCTGTCCTCACTGTAAATCCTAGGGACACAGGGCCTGGCCTCTGTTCAACCATGCATCTCATCCAATGACTGCTCCCGTCTCCCTAGCCTATGGCTCAACACTCACCTCTGTCCCTCCCAGGGCCCTGCTGGCCCCAGGAGCCAGGGCGCGGGATGCACTTGTTGTTCTGCTGAGCGTCCACTTGGTGGCGCCCTGTTCTAGCTTACCGCCCCCACCCAGAGGCCACCCCAGGACAGCCTGGCACGCAAAGCCAGCGGGGAAAGAGGCAGCCCTCAGTGAGGGGCACGAACACAGTGGCTGTGATGATGGTTTTCAAATACGAGGTCCCGTGTGAGGGTGGCCAGAGCAGGGTTGGGCTTCCTTCGCTGTCCCCAGGTTGACTACAGGTCAGAACCACCTGCCAACGTCGTCCATAGAAGAGGCCCCTGGCTTGGCCTCCCTCCCACCTGGACACCAAGGCCTCCGAGGGCCCGAGAGCTGTCCATCTGCCTGGTCCCATGCCAGCCTAAACCCCTGGCTCCTCCACCTCCTCATTTCTTCCTGAAATCCTGCAAGTACACCACCACCACCCCCATCGACCTGAGCCCCCAGTCCACCCAGAGCACTGACCTCCCTCACCCCAGGGCCACCTGCCCAGTCCTCATCCCCTGGCCCTGTCACTGACCTGGGCTGGGTCGGGCAGCAGGGACTCGGGCCACCTTGCGGACCTTTTTTCGGGACACCGGCCTGGGCCCCTTGCAGAGGCGTGAGGCGCTGGAGGGCGCCGAGGTCCCCAGGGAGCCGCTGCTGACCTGGCAGGCTGCCTGGGCCCGAATCTTGTCCCGCAGCTGCTCCAGCCGGGGGTCGCTGCCCTGGGGCTGCCGCTGGGCGCCTAGCCCCCGGGGGAGCCGCTCCTTCCAGAGCCGGGGTGGTGGTGCATAGTCGTGGCCCCCTGAGGAGCCGGACAGGCGGCCGGAGGACACCAAACTGCTTCTATTCCCTCCGGTCTCTGACTCCTCACCTTCGGACCACACGGGGCAGCTGCAGGCTTGCCCCTGGACACCCAAGGACCTGCTGGGCTCTGGCCGGGCCTGGCGGGGTGCCCTCCTGGGGCTACCTGGCTGGGGGGGCTGTCTGGACCGGCGTGTGGCCGCCCAGAGGTCATCCCTGGATGCGGCGGGCCAGCAAGCTTCTTCCCTTGGGAGAGAGGGACAGACAAGCTGTCAGGTGTGGCATTGCAGGGAGAGCTCCCTGATGGGCACCGTGGCCCCCGGCCCACTCTGCCCCCTGCCCAGGATGGGGTGTGCTCACAGCCTTACAGACATGAGTTCGGCTGAGGGTCACAGCCTCAGCCGTCCCCCCACATGGTGGCCTCTGGACTCTGTCCTCTTGAATCCTCAACACACCCCCTTGAGGTGGCCCTGCCACTACCCCACTTTCCAAATGGGGAAACTGAGGCCGCTGGCCCAAGGGCACATCTCAGAGGGACAGACACGGGCTCTGGCTCCTCGCCCCTGGCCCCTGGCCCCTGCCTTGCCCTGCCAGCCCACGGCTCTTGCCTCAGTCCACTTGCACACACCCGGGCCTTGGGGCTGGGCCTCCGGCCAGCAGGTCCCCCCACAGCTCCGCCTCTGGGGCAAGGCAGTGTCATGTCCTCCGGGCCAGCGGGCAGCCTCCCCATAGCCAGGTGCCTCGGTCACCACCCCTGCCCAGGGGCTCCACTGCTGCTGTCTCATGGCAGCCCGGGGCTCCGCAGCCCAGCCCCCATGCCAGCTCAGGCCCACCGGCTGCTGCCCCGCTCTGGGTGCCACCTGCGTGGGAGCCCGGGCCCAGGTTGCACACCCTTGGGACCGTCATGGAGACGGGCCTGAGCCAGCCACAGTCTTGGGCCCTGCCGCTGGGCCACCCCTGGGGGAGAGAATCCCAGGGCCCATGACAGCATAATGACCCGGGTCACGCAGGCCCTCACACTAGAGGCTCTAAGTGGACCCCCACCCCCTAGGCTGCCCAGCGCTTGGGCTGAGGGAGCTGTCAGCCAGGGCTCAGGCTACCAGGGCCCAGAACACCTGGGGAGGGCTGCAGGCCGGGGCAGGGGCAGCTCAGGGCTCAGCACTCTGTCTGTGCAGAGAGAGAGCCAGCCCCTGCCAGCACCCTGACACCCCTCACCCCTTGCGAGGCTGACCAGGGGACTGTCACTGGCTGTGCTCAGACACTGCCTAGCCGGGGGGAACCCTGCTGGCGTCTGGGTACCTGGCAGGCACCCCCAGGGAGCTCCATTTGAGGGAACCCCACAGGACAGCAGAGTGGGAAGAATGTGGACTCAGTTGCCTTTAACCCCCAGCCACGGCCCTCAGTGACAGTAAGACGTCGGAAGGGGTGGGGGGTGAGGGCACGGCGCCCCCATCGTGGCGACTGGGCGAGTCACTCCTGGGGGGTTGGCACTGCTGAGGTCCTCAGGGTGCCATAACCCTGAGATTCATGCCGGCAGCTGTCAAGTCGGCTGCCCCCCTGCCCGGGCCCCTGTGCCAGACTGGACTGAGGCCCAGACACCAGCCGGCCTCTTCTCCAAGGCTGTCAGCCCAGCACTTTACCCTCGCGCCAAGGGGACGCCTCCTTCCTCGGCAGGCGGGGACACTGGGCTGCCCTCCAGGCATGTCCAGGTGGCCTTCCTAGGACACGGAGGGGCCACCATGCCAGTCCCTCCAGACACAGAGCAGGAGCAGGGGTCTCCGGTCTGAGTGGGGGTGGAGGGGTGTTGGGAGGAGTGGTGTATAGTCTGAACCTGATGCCCAGGGCCCGCCTGCTGTCTGGCAGCCACAGAGTCCAGCAACTTCATGCGGCGGCCACTGTGAAGGTGCTGCCCCCCACCCCCCAGTCAGAATCTGTGCATTGATGCCACTCCTAGAGGTGGACACAGCAGGACACACAGACAGCCCCATGGAACCACAGCTGTAAGCCTTCCAGGCAGCAGACAGCCTCCCCTGGCGCTCAGGCAGCAGCGGCAGGGTTCAAACCTCTGGCCCTCTGGTGAGCACCCTGACCCATAACCTAGTGGGGTAAACCCAGCTCCAACCCCAGGGCCCCTGACACCCCTGCGGCCTGAGGACAACCTACCTCTGCAGCAGCGTCCCCCTGTCACCACCACGGTCATCTGGCTCTCCCTTGTGCGCCCGGCCCGAGGCCTCTCCCTGCTTGAGCTGGAGCCACCCACTGGGGGTGTCCCTCGGCAAGGCTGGAAGGGACCAGACCCACCAGTGAGGTTCTATGATGCCATGGGCGCTGAGTGGGGTACAGCCTCCACCCTGTCATGAGCAGGTCCTACCCGGTGGGCACTTTGGCGTGCTGCCCCAGGGTCGGGTGCTGCCCCAGGGTCGGGCTGAGAGTGTCTGCAGCTCACCTCCAATGAGGTTCTTCTAAACACCTGGGCCAGGAACAGTGAGGAGCAGGCTGCGGGTGCACAGGTGGGGGTGTGTGGAAAGGCCCACGGGGGTGGTGAGCAGGCTGCGGGTGCACATGCTGGGGTGGGCAGGTGGGGGGATGGG